CACCGGAGATTAGAGTTCATCCATACGATCTAGAACCACTGCGTTCATCCACATGGCTTTTTAAATAATAATAAAAATATTTCGTCGTCGTCGTGGCCTAAAGGATAAAACGTCCGGTGCATTCGTATGTAGCGATGCACCGGTGTTCGAATCCCGCAGGCGAGTACCAATTTTTCTAATGAAATACGTACTCAACAAATGTTCACAAACCCGCAAAATTATAATTTGCGTAATCACTGGTGGTAGGACCTCTTGAGAGTCCACATGGGTAGGTACCACCGCCCCGCCTATACTTGAGACCTCGGAACTTATATCTCAAGGTGGGTGGCGCGTTTACGTTGTAGATGTCTATGGGCTCCAGTAACCACTTAACATCAGGTGGGCTGTGAGCTCGTCCATCCATCTAAGCAATAAATAAAAAAATACAAAATGTGTGCAATTCACACGTGGTAGAAGTGAAACCTTCCAAAATTAAAATACAATTATCCTAAACGTCTTAAGTATATGTAAAATTTTGTCATTAGTAAATAATTGTAAGGTAGCGCCCTCTGTGAATTAATATTTTAATTTCACGTATAATCCTAAATTAAAATTCACTACAAGAGCTTTCATACACACGTTAGTATTAAAAAATCTCACAGATGGCGCTGTATTAAATAGTATGTATATTTCTGTCTCATTCTTTGCTGGCTTCATCCTACACATTTTTGTATTTGTGTCTCTTACCTGTCGTTTTTTCCGTTGCATCCGGTTTGAAATCACAACGATTCTAAAGAAGTTTTCACTTCAAAAAAAAAAACTTCCACCTACCGGCTTTGGAATGAGCTCCACTCTACGGTGTTTCTCGAGCGCTATGACATGTCCTTCAAACGAGGTTTGTGGAGACTACTTAATGGTAGGCAAGTTAAGCTCTATCTCTGGCATTGCTGACGTACATGACCGACGGTAGCCATCATCAAGTGGGCCCTATAATCATCTACACACACACATACATTCACACTTTACATTTTACTATCTGACTTAGGTGTGCTCGCAGTAGTGTTGTCTTGATCTAGATCGATTATCACTCCTAAGTCTAGCCCTAACTAACTAACTAAACTAACTCAGCTAAATAAAGTTACCCTATTTGTCTAGCCGATATACTCTCGTGTTTCCACTTTTTGTAACACGTGCGTATGTAAAAATAATATTTCTTTATTATAATATACAGAAAAAGCAATTTAACACTGCCGCGTGGGTCACTTATGTCGATTTCTGTTACTAATCATCTGGTTTTTTTTTATTGCTCACAGCCCACCTGGTGTTAAGTGGTTACTGGAGCCCATAGACATCTACGACGTAAATGCGCCACCCACCTTGAGATATAAGTTCTGTCTCAAGTATAGTTACAACGGCTGCCCCACCTTTCAAACCGAAACGCATTACTGCTTCACGGCAGAAATAAGCGGGGTGGTGGTACCCACCCGCGCGGACTCACAAGAGGTCCTACCACCATTTCCTAACTAGAAGTTTGTTTGTTAATGTATGTTTTAGTCTTTTAGGTCTCTTAGAAATAGATTCATTCTCAGTATATTCGGATTCTTCTTTCCCGGAGTCTACTAGATATTCTGCGCCTTAATAAGAAATTCGTAGAGAGAAATCGACATAATTACTTCAGTGCGCCATTTAAGGCACCGGCGACCACGTGGCAGTCAACGTATTAAATAAGGAATACATTCTTAATCTACTATATACATATTCGAATTAGCATACATAGCATGTCGGAAAACTATGAAATAAGGGCGAGATTACATCGTGAACCAGCAAAACATTCCCTTCAAATTTATTGCTTACAATCAACTAGCAAAAATTTACAAAACAAAAAAAAACCGCTAAAAAAATTATAATTTATGAAAATTGACAGATTCTGTTTGAGAGGCGTACCTTCGTTAAACATCAAAGGGGCCCTGTTTGATTATGTTATTCAGGGAAATACAATTTGCATGATATCAGTCAAAAGAAAAAAAATATATATATAGCTATTTTTTTTCGGGTTGCCAATGTCGGAAAATAAATGCAGATAGATGCTTATCTTAGACAGAAACTTGAATCTCTTTAATCTATTTGATTACAACTTCAAGATATTAGGAGAATCCGTGTGGATATCCGTCATACGTACAAGTCGGGAGAAATAGTCTCGCAATGTTGAATTTTGTATTTTCAATTGTGTTTTCAATAGCCAAAGCTATGCACATTAATATGGTTTTGCTGAGTGCACATATTATTTAGGTTGCAGTCCAGATTAGATCTAGGTACTACTTGTACGATTTAGCTAATATGTACTGTAATTATTGTAATTTGTTTTGTGCATCAATAAATTAAAAAAAAAAAGAATTAATGCTAATTACAAAATTTATCGATACTAAGTAAAGACATGTCTGTAGTGTTTCGCTGTGTCGAATACTCTCATCAGTTATAAAAAATTCGAGACTGCCAGTACCGAAAATCTATTTTTATATAGTATTTAAAAATAATAGTAATAATATATTATTTTTTTTGAGACTACGTTGTATCTATAGTTATCAATACTATTTTTAATATTATACATATTATACAAGTGTATTTGTTACTTGGAGACGAAGCAATAGATTGACATGATTTTTCTGAAAAGTGTATTGGATCAGTAACGCGACTTAAGTTGCCCTTAATTCCGCAAAGATATCTCATTCCCACGGGAAACTACTCTAACATATTTTCATTCCATGAACACGCAAGCAAAACTGCGGGTAGCATCTAATAACTTACAAGTTTAAAAACAAAACGTTCTGTAAACAAGAATACTAGAAGCAAATTAATTAACAAAATAAATGCAACGAAACATTTTCAAAACTCGATTGCATATCAAATACAGAATTATTTCTTTCAGAAGCACTTCACTTATTCGTGAGTCGCTATAAAGTTACGTGCAGGAAGAGTAAATAAGTTGAAGCCGCCTGTATGGAACTGAAACATTTACTGCGCCACGGGACTCGCTTGTTTTGCATTTTCTCTACACTGCATTTTATAAGAGTTAGGTTAACGTGGATAAGATTGCGGACCAGTCCGATATCCCCGCGCGCCCCCTAGGCGTGGGGACTTGATAGGACGTTCCACTCCAGGTAAAAAAAACGTGCGCGAGAAACTTGGTGCACGTAAAAGAAGTCAAACTTCTTTGCGGTATGTAGTATTGTGGTTTTCTTTATTTTTCATCCTTAAATAATTTTTTTCCTGTAATAGGGAATGCTGTCTATTTTCTCACTGTCGCTCTTCCTAAATTGACTACGACTGTGCCACAATTAAAATTTCATAAATTCGTACCACCAATTTTGCTGAGAAATACGCACTATTATTTTTTTTTTGGTCAGGAGAAACTCTCCGAACTTCCGCCCTCCACTGGGGATGGAGGGCGGGGCATGTCAGAGTCGAACTGACTGAAACCTCCTGTCGCTCAACAACCAACGTCCAAACCTCGCATGAGACAGAACTCATGAAGAGGCAAAGGGAGGAAAGTGAAGCGTTTAGTGCGGAGCACATCTCTCCCATCACCCTCCCCCTCGGGACGCCGGACTGGCGGTCGTCGGCGCCACGACCACCAGCCCTGTCGGTGAGAAATACGCACTAAGCACATTCACGAACGACTTTTATGAGAAAGGAATGGCATGATATAGTAAAAATCAAATCTGTAAAATAAATCGACCCGAAAAACAACAGCGTAAATATATATTCGTAAATCGGTAATAATTATGTTTTGCATCAAAAGTACGCTCGTCTGCCTACAAGGGCAATAAAAAAACGTTCATGTTCTTGGACCACACTTTAAAAACATGAATTACCCACACAACCAACTTTCAAACCGTGAACAATTAAGATGATGGTTATTATTAATACACGATGGGATATACTGAAACGTCAATAAAAACAAATCGCGCAATGTAATTAATAAAGTAAAGATTCAAAAATCGAGAACAAACAAAACTTTAATTTAAAAAATATTATTTATTCGTTATCCACATTATCCTTACTTGGTCTTAGCACGACCGCGGCGCACAGTCGAGCACCCAACAAATATTTGATATCGCCGCCACTCCACATCCAACAGGCATACCTTTACAGTTCAACTATTCCATCCCGTAACATATTAGAAACATACAGAGTGTTTTACAATCTTGCACGAAAATAAATGGGAAGTGGCACTGGCAAGACCAGTGATACTACCTTTTNTACAGTTCAACTATTCCATCCCGTAACATATTAGAAACATACAGAGTGTTTTACAATCTTGCACGAAAATAAATGGGAAGTGGCACTGGCAAGACCAGTGATACTACCTTTTTTTTTCCTACCTAATCTGGTAGCCTTGAGAGGCTATTCCAGCGTAACCTTAACTAGTAGGTGAGCTCACGGGGCTCAAACCTGACGAAGTTGCTTACACGAACCCTAGCAAGAGCCGTGCTTCGCACAATCTACCACCGGATCGGAAACGCGACCCACTGGGAAGATCCGGCGAGAAAATCAGTAGGCTGTGCCTGGGGTTTGTGATACTACCAAGACAACACTAAATGTCTTTTTTTTCGTACTGACGCTGGTTACGTAGGTGGTTATGCCAGCGTAACCGGCCAAGTGGATGAACTGACCATACCTATGCGAATTTCGAGAGCAGCAGTATTTCACAGCAGACAAAGGCCCATACTTTACAAATCATAACCTCAGGAACTTTAATTGATGGAGCAATGCTTTGAGGATTCTTTTACGGCGCAACTCACCATCAATCAAATGAACCGTAATACTGTCTACTTTTAAAAACCATTTAAAGACTAGTTTTAAAAACAATTACCTAATTACAATGGAACTTCGAGTTTTCAAATTTGGTAAACTATCTGCAGATATGATTATGATGTGTACATAAACAATTATATTTGATATGTGACTGTAGGCAATGGTGGCGGATTAAAAACAAAAAGCGTGTAAATGCTCAAAAATTTTATTAAAAATTTAAACCAAAATCCCTCAAATTGATAAGCCGACATATATTTCTCGCTGTAACTTCATTTATCTATCTATGTTAACCTGAAAATAAATAATTATAAGTATCCAGCTTGGAATGGAAATGAGGTAATCAATAGTATTCGCAATTCAGGTACTTTAACTTTAAAACTAAATAAACAGTTTTTATTGCTCACGGTACACGTGCTTGTTACTGGAGCCCCTAGACATCAACAACATAGTGCTACCACTAAATTTAGACAAGAGCTCTAAACCTCACTTCTGTAGTACAACGGCTGCCCCGCTCTTCAAAATAAAATGCTTCGCGGCTGAAATAAGCGGAGTGGTGGTACCTATCCGTGCGGATTCATAAGACGCCTTACCGGTAGTTCAATCTACAGTTAAATTAGTGACCCACGCTTACGTTGCATGAGATTTATTTCATATGATTTAAAAGGACAACATATTAAACAGATACATATATATAAATAAGCAAACCACCCTTTTTTCGGGCATGGGGCCGAACCTCATACTTGATGTACACCTAGAGGGCACGTGGAGTATATGGAACTTGGCGGTCTGCAGATGTCCGGAGTAGATTGCGGGCCCAAGGATAAGCAAACCACCCTGACTACCTGATGATAAGTGGTTCTGGCGGCCCCTATATCTTATGCTGAATTGCGTTACCCACCTTGGAGGTTATGTCGGGAATTCGGTCATATTCAAAAAAAGTATCCCATCCTTCAATGTTATAATTATGTCACAATAATGTCTACCTATCAAATAGATTTGTGGAATTTATTTTACTACACTATTTTGTTACTTTATCTCGAAAGCTATGCGACACGTGTTAGACATGAATATATATATTCCTGCGATAACACTTGAACTCTGGTATTTTGGGGTCAATTATTTTTTAGCCTGAATACCACGATGATACGCTGACGAATATTAGATAAAAACTGACTCACCTCAGCGTCCGCAAAGTACTTTTTTCTGACAGACCAAGATTCCATTGTATTTGCAGAAACAACGATCACAAGGAGTTATCATTTGAGTGCCGATTCTACACGGATAATACTTCATGTAAACATTTCCGTAACCTACTTTCGTCATTTCCAAATCGCTATAAGCTTGATTATTAAACAAGGCCTTTAGCTGATCGCTGTTCACGAAACAGTTTCCATTGTCCAGTTTCAAAATTATGCTTATGAATTTCTGTAGATACGTCCATTTCGATCTAATCATTTTAAGGAGTTCGATGAGTTTCTCCCTCAGCAGTGGCAAATTGTTGTTCTGGTCGATCGAGTTGAGCTGCATCACGAATATTTCTTCATCGGATAAGCTCCCCATAGAATCTTTTAGTATACTAGCAATTGAAAATCGATCATTGACGTTGTTTAAATTATATTTATTGTTAATGAAGATGGAATTCTTAATGGTTTGACTGTCCCTTCGATCGTAATCGTCTTTAATTTCAGCTTTATACCTCAAATTCTGGTAATTTTTTTCCGGCATATTTTGGTTAGGCCCGTTTAATTCCCCGCTTATCGACATCTTGTGTTCTTCGTTAAATCTTTCATTGGAGCTATTTTCGATGACTTCACGATTATAAGGAACTCTTTGGTCGATAAGCTTCTGTTCGCCTAATAAAGTAAAATCAATTTTGTTTCCCTGATACAAGCCAGTTTGATAGCCAGTTGGATTATTCACTGAAGTAAATTGATATGCGCCTTGTTCTTCTTTAAGGTGCGCTGGCTCAAATCTTGACTGTTCTCCGATGATAAATTCTTGATAGTTCAACGGTAATTGTTGACTTTGCATCAATTCTAACTTTTTATCGCTTGCCATGTAATTAAATTGATTATTATTATTCATGTTTGGACTGAATTTCTCCTTTACTGAAAACTGAGTCTCTACGTCATCTTCGTTTTCTGTTTTTATCTGTTCATTTCCAAAGATAGTGGGAATATTTAATTTCGATTTAACTTTTTCTGTTTGTCTGGCTTTGAACTTCAGCGAATTTGAATTCGAATCATCCTGTGCTAATTTCGTCGCTGCAGCTCGTCGTAAGAGCGAACCATTTTCAGCGCACTGCATATTTCCAAAACGAGCACCTGCAACTTGAAGTTCCTTCAGTGTAATCCTAAATTTATTTATACTTTGCGCTATAAGATCTATTAATATTCCACGTTCTAAAACACTAAGGGTTTCTTCTTTAGTTTGGCCCCATTTATCAATTGGTGTAACAAAATTTACTTTAGAATTGTACTGGTTTTTAAATTCCTCTGTATCTTGGAACTCCTGGAGCACTGTGCCGGCTTGATAATTAGCATTGTTTTTTTTTAACTCAGTTAATTTTATCGAACCCTTGCTGTCTCGAACAGTTGAACTGGTTGGGTAATATTGTTGTTCGTAATTAATATAGTTTTGTTTTTTATCAACTCTGGTTAATGGATTTTCGTAATGGGTATATCCGGCAGCGCTTTTAAACCTATCAAGTTCATTATTACCGTACGGTTTTTGCTGAACGTCTACATAGTTTTGATAGTTTTTCATTTTGCTTTTATATTCAAAGTCTGGACTGACGCTCTCAGTATTGAAATCTATTTTTTCCTTCATACTTTGCGTGGTATCTACGATTTGTGGCTGTTGATAGTTTTCGAAGTAATTTCCGTAATACGGTTTCACTTTATTCCTTCCAGAGCCGTAATTATTAACTGCAAATGCGTTTTGATAACGTTGAGCAGGACTGTGACCATATGTATACCTATCTTTTATCACGTTCTCTCGTTTATCGTATAAGTCATATGGACTATAATTTTCTTTTTTTTCACTAACCACTTCAATATCAGATTCTAAAAATGTAGGATCCAACTGCCTTTGTCCATCAATGTTGTATCCTGCTTCCTGATTTATAGCTTTATATTGATCGTGGTTCAAACTATTACTGCGCGATTCATAGAACCTCTTTTGTTTTGCGTATTCATCACTGTGAGCACCGCCACGCAGATTTTCGGCTCTTATATAATTTAATTCAGCGTCTTCTTTGTATTCTACCGATCCCGAAGTTGATTCGTCACGTATTTCATCATGCGTATTTCTTCCGAGCTTTAACTGAGAATCAATATACGTGTTCGGTGCTTTCTGCATGTACTTACTGGAGGCAAACTCTTGTTCTGCGACAAACTTGTTTGGTTCTCTTAAAGTATCTGTTATCTTGTAACTCGATAGGGACTGAACATTATTCAAACTATTGCTTCGGAGATCCTGGGGCTGGATATATTGGTCCGGTACTTTGTATTCAACGGTTTCAATTTCTCCTTCGGGTGACATTCTTTTTTTGAGTACAACACTGAACGAATTTTGATTTTCAGAGCTTGGAACATGATACATACGAATTTGTGACTTTACTTCTTGGCCAAAACCGTTGCGTCCTGCATTTTGATCTGCAACCGAGTTTTTGGCCATAACTGACATGAGATTTGCGATCTTCATAGCATTGTTTCCGTTTACATTAGAGTTGACATTAGTATCTAGCGGATTGTAATCTACCCTCACTGATTTAGAGACGACATCGCGTTGACTTCCGTATGGCCACGGCTTCACAACCTCGTAAGGATTCGGTCTTTTAACGTTTTGTTCAATAATTTGTAGATATCTGCGACTGGGAACATCTTCAGCCACTGCTTAATGAGAAATAAAAACAAATGGTTACCGCGTATTGTTTTTTAATTTTTGAATTAGACAGTATTATTTTTTATAACATAGTGAATGTTATTCATTTGTTACATAGTGATTGTTAATGAAAGTCTGTCGTGTTAGGCTGTTATATGTCTTCTTAGAAAAAACGGAGCCTGCCTGCAGAATTTGAACACAAGCATAGTTAAATAATTATATGGTACATTGTACAATTACATGGTTAAACAATTACACCGTTCGACTTATCATTTTGGCCACGACAACTACCTGAGAACACTACACATACTACTATCAAATTTTTATTTTATCATCTGCTTACCATCTTGATCAGCGGTCGCTGATGCCACGAGGAGGACCTGTGAAATAAACAGCATAAAATATATTTAATATAGAAACTTCCATCAGCTTGATACTCACATGGATTGATCATTGTAGAGAGAGAGAGAGAGAGAGAGAGAGAGAATACACTTTATTGCACACCAAAACACAATTTACATTCAAAAACAATCAGAAAGAGCAGATACATTTGTACAATAAGCGGTCTTATCGCTAAAAGCGATCTCTTCCAGACAACCGTTTAATTTATAGAAATTCTGAAAAATATAAAAAATACAAAAACAAATACAAAAAATACGTTTACATATAATATGAAATATATATCAATATTTATATACCAAGTATATACCAATATACGTACTTACACACAACACATACTAATATACTTACATACACATAATACATCAACAGTATGAAAATAACAAAATTAAATGATGATGCAAACAGCACTAAGAAGATAAGTAGTGTTCCTTCACCATTCTTTTAAAACAGTTTAAAGTTTCGTACTCATCGTACTTACTATACTGCGAATTAAGATCGAATCTGACTTAGATGAGAACGGCATACAGGTTATTCTGTCCATTCAATAATCTCCGGGAACAGACTACCAGAGGACCCTTTTGCTTCTCATCACCTTGATAAGTATACTTACAATAAATCATTAGATATCAACATCTATTCGGACTCTGATTCTGTTTACCCAAGCTGACGATAAACACAGATATGAAGACAGATAGCACGTTGGCATTCTCTGTTACAGAGACATAGACCAAATGTCTCCTTGCTGTTACGAAAACTCTTCTTCTATCAGCCCTTATCCCACTATGTGGGTTCGGCGAACCAAGCTCTCTTTATCCATTCAAACTTATCATAAGTCATCTCTGCACTCACACCCTTCTGACTTTTTCACACAGTCCAAGTCTTTTCCACCCGTTTTCACATTTCCTTGGACTTTCATACCCAGATGTTACGAAAACTCAAGGTAGTATAAATTAAAATCCGAAAGAAGGCCCAAGTCACGACTATAATTTATCAATTTAATTTCTCATTTACGGATCAAAGATTCAACGGTTTTTATGAATGGAAAAAGATAATGATCAAAAAGAAAATACGATGTTTTAACCCGAAGAAATAAGTGAATTATATAATGTAACAACGAATAATGAATAATACAATGAATTCATAATAGAAATTTACCCCCACAAATATTATCAGAAATTCCATTATGTTGACTGAATGTAAAACTACCTTTCCTCAACAATATTTATAGTCCAACGATTTTGATTATGTAACTGTAACTGTGTAATTCCATTAGTTATAATGAATAAGAACATACAAAATTATTTTCATGAACAATACAGGGTCAGGCGATTTTCACCTTTATTCCTAAATCAGTTCGGTTTAGAGTACCTTTCCGCCGGCCGATGTAAGTTTATGTGATGTAGCATTTAATTATCCGTGTATAATGTGGTATTTCGTATTTTTTTTTTTACAATTTAATCGATACATATCTTTGGTATTAATAAGGGGTTATTACGAAAAAAATTGTTTTCACGCTGTGAATACAACAGGCCTTGTTGGGAGTTTAATTGATTATTATTTTTAATCGCCCTGTTGTTCAAGTGGTTAGCGACTCAGACAGTGAAACATCAGAGTACGCGTTTGACTCTCGGTCCCAATTAATTTTTTATTAAAGTTGTTTTGTGTTTTGAGTCAAAAGTCCAATGGCGAATCGCCAATCTTGGGACTGCTAGATGTAGACACATATATTTACTATCAACATTAGATACGCCCAGCGATTTGAAATGTTAATGAATGAAATTTGTTACATTACCCGTCACACGTTTTTTACTGGTGGTAGGACCACTTGTGAGTCCGCGCGGATAGGTACCACCACCCTGCCTATTTCTGCCGTGAAGCAGTAATGCGTTTCGGTTTGAAGGGTGGGGCAGCCGTTGTAACTATACTGAGATTTTAGAACTTGTATCTCAAGGTGGGTGGCGCGTCTACGTTGAAGATGTCTATGGGCTCCAGTAACCACTTAACACCAGGTGGGCTGTGAGCTCGTCCACCAATCTAAGCAACAAAAAAAAAAAAAGAATCGCTCGTGTGACTCGTGTCTCAGGTCCATACGCTATCAGCAGTATCAGCCGATTTAAGAATCTGTTTGTATATTTAATTGTTATGAACCTGTCGATATCGTGCCGTATTTATTATGGATGATATACCCGGCATTGATTGGATAATTACAATAGTATAAAGTTAGCTAAGTTATTAACCAATCCTATTCAAAATTACATTAAAAACAAACACCCAAAACGTATTACCTCAAGTATTTATATTATCAATACATATTTATTTAACTTTAGTTAAAATTGGTTTTTAATATTTATAGCAAACCTTATTTCTTAAGAAGAAGTCTACCAAGAACCTATCCAGTTAGGTGAGTTTTATTTTTATTTTTTATTGCATAGAATGGGTGGACGAGCTCACAGCTCACCTGGTGTTAAGTGATTACCGGAGCCCATAGACATCTATAACGTAAATGCCACCGCCCACCTTGAGATATAAGGTCTCAATATAGTTACAACGGCTGCCCACCCTTCAACCCGAAACGCCTTACTTTCACGGCAGAAATAGTCAGGGTGGTGGTACCTACCCGAGCGGACTCACAAGAGGTCCTACCACCAGTGAAACACGAGTTTCCTTAGATATTGTTACTCGCCTGCGGCATTTCAACATCAATATGCCGCGTCGTTCGATGCCAGTATACCGAGCGCCTTATCACTAGGACCAAGACGTCGTCTACTGATAACGTCGATACTGATAACTACTGATGCCTTAAGTCGCGGGCATCTTCACCGGCGGGAAAGAAAGCCTTTGTTTTCTAATCCTATAAATAATTATAAAATGTATAAGATTTTAATAAATGCGCCATAAATTTCATATTCTCTTCATAGTAACAGTCACGTATTTACCAGGCAAGTCTTTAATTCTTGACACTGTAATTCCTATCCAATGCTTGAAATGAAACATGGCTCGGTATCACCAATTAACCTGTTTCGTTTCTATTTTATACCGTAGGATAAGGTAGGAAGGTAATTAGCAGTATGTTAGTACAATAGCATTTACGCTTTTTCCCCCCTACCTATTCGTGATACCTATGGTAGCTAAGGGACTAATCCAGCTACGCCCCGACAGGGGCACGCCTGTGGACTCTAGTTACCATTTAACATGAAGCGAACCGTATATGCTTGCCTTTTTTGTGATTGAGGGATTACCGGTAGCCCGGAGGCCTTTCCAGTTTCAGCAGGGCAGGTGGGCGAGCAAGGGCTCAGCCAGGAGGGGTAGGATTTGCATACAGCTACCCGAGCACCTCCAAGTCAGACCTAACAACTCAAGAGAAGCTGCTTCGCGAATGAAACTACTAACGGATCGGAATCGTGACCCGCTGAGAAGATCCGGCGAGAAACTCAGCGGGCTGATGCATGGGTTAGGTTGCACGTCGATCTCTTTGTCGAGTTCGAAGAGTACGGCTACCGGGGTCCCTACTCCTAGTGTTAGAGCTAAAGGCGTTTAATGCAACGGTTACTGGATCTCATGGATCCGTAAGGACATGTCTAGGGCGTCGACGGTGACTGGCTCCTGCGTGATCAGGATTCGGGGAGTAGTCAGCGGCGGCAACGATAAGGCGATTATCAAATATGTTTGCCTATTTTATTGAACGAAAAGTTTTTCAAGGTTCCTCGTACTAGAACCCGTAGTATTAAACTAACTATAGTTATTAGATTAATTATTCCATAAAATACTAATAACCATTTAATTTTTATCATTATAATTAAACGCTCATTATTTATTACTGTCGCATTAGTTTTTATTTGTGCCGTCAATAATTTTTTTTTCTGTTAATTTATGATTTTAGAATAAAGTCGTATTCCATTTTTGTCCATGAATTTGAAACAAGAATCATCTTGTTTGGTCCAATGCGAATTGTACCTTAACAAATGTGACCAAATGTCTCTAATTGCACTATACATTTGGAGCGGCGAAAAGCTATTTAGTTTAAGCGGCATTTCGCTTAATACGCGACATTTATCTTTGTAATTAAAGGTGCGTTTTATTTGGTACTAGCGACCCGCCCTCGCTTCGCTTCGGAAACTGTAATTTATTATTAATTTCTCCACTATTTAATGGATGTTATTATACATATAAACCTTCCTCTTCAATCACTCTATCTATTAAAAAAAACCGCATCAAAATCCGTTGCGTAGTTTTAAAGATTTAAGCATACATAGGGATATAAGAACAGAGAAAGCGACTTTGTTTAATACTATGTAGTGATCAGCATCAACAGTTCGATTTTTTTTAATTGAACTTAAATTAATATTACTCCATTCATAGCCAACAGCTGATGAAGTTTTTTTTGTCATGATATTTAATCCAAATTTAAGACTTGAAATGGCTCTCCTGTAAACAAAAATGTCGTTTGAACCAACCAGCCTTTCATCCCTCCATTTAATACACAGAAGGCACCTAAAGATGATAGAACATGGGCAATCAACTAAGAATACAACGATAACAACGATAATTGAGATTCAGCGTAAAAGTGGCCTAACCCACAATATTGCAATTTATTTAAAACATAATAAATTTTGATACAAAACCGACCTATCCCTAGTCTTCGGCGGGATGAATGTAATATGCTCTGCGTAACCCTGTCCTGCCGTCTCAATAGCTCCGACTGGGTTCCCGCCCGGTCCGGGGTAGAGCGCCGGCTGTGAGCGGCAGGAGTTTTTAGTGAGGTTCGAGTCCCACATATCCCAGCTACCGTGCGGGTGGGGATCCGGCGATTTTCTCCTGTGGAAAAAATCCCTGATCTTACCCATAGAGAACATATGGCTTTGTAAACTATATTTTTGCGCGTATTGTTTTTGCCTACGAAGCAGTGTAACAGTTAATTCTATTCTCATTATCTCCATACTAATTATGATAAGCTTAGGCCACTTTTGCCCTGACT